AGCTGGTCAGATTTCATAATACCGCCGCATAGGTTCTTGAAGAGCGTCGATTACCCGTTTTGTATCGGGATGAGGTTCAAAATGCGGGTTGAGTCTGAAGATTCCACCGAGAGAAGGTTTGTTACGCTTGACCTTGCAAAATCCTGGAGCCATTTCTCACTCCAAGCTATAAGATATGAACCCGAGCTCCTTCTGATTGGCTATCTCCCAGATGCACTGGGATTATAACTGGAATTGGCGACATGGATCCTCTGAGATGGCCCGGTTCTAAATGGAGATGCCTCCTGGTACGAATCTGGTTTCTCTGCTTGCAAATGGTTGCAACAATCAAACATGAAATGTGATCTTCTATGAACTATATGCATCACGAAGACGGTTTGCTTGTTTCGATTTAACAATATGGGTAAGGTGTTTATGCCGTTTTCAGGTGAAGTGGGATGACACCGAGGCTAACGGGCATCAAAGACGTGTGTCGCCATGGGAGATCGAGCCATCGGGTTCTATCTCTAGTTCAGGCAGCTTTCTAACAATTGGTCCCAAGAGGAGTAGGATTGGTCTTCCCCCATTAAAACCAGACATTCCTTTCCCTGGTATGCTTTTCTCCCCCATCACTCTGGTTTAAACCCTTGTCTTGTCTGATAACTTCTAGGGTTGTGATCTGTTCAGAGGGGATCCAAGCAACGAACTTTGGAGAATCTATAAGATTCCAGAGGGTCTTGCAAGGTCAAGAAATATTTCCGGGTTTCGATTGTATGGCTCTTACTGGCCAGACAAGAAGAGGGTTTCCTCGTAAAGGCCCAGACTTTAGGGAATCTTTCATGTTCCATAAGGTCTTGCCAGGTCAAGAAACAGTTACATCATCTTATCCGAGCGGCCGAGGAGGAGGAGGATGTGGTCAAGTAGTTCCCATGTGGTCTGAGCCATACATCCATGCCATGTCACCAACCTCATCCATGGCCATGTCTCAGCTGCCGAACCATGAAACCGCTGTCTCTGTCTCGGATGTAAGCCACAAGAACTGTACGGACGGTCGTAGCGGAACGGGTGGCACTTGTGAGAGCAGTTGCAGGCTGTTCGGTTTCTCGCTGACGGAGGAAACTCGAGGTGGAGTGGAGAAGGGCAGTAACGTAATTATGGAATGTGGAGAAGGGCAGATTGGGACTGCCATGAAAGGCGGTGGTGTTGTCCTTCCAAGCAGCCATTCTAAGGGACGACGGGATATCTACGCCGTTAGAGACATGCTGCTGGATATCGCTCTCTAGCGTTCCGGGTTTCGCGTTCTGCGTTTGTCAAGGGCTTTATAGATCTGATGGTTAGTATTACGAGTGACTCAGAGAAACACTATAACTCTTGTGTGTTTGTGTCATGTTCCACTAAGATTGCAGCGTTGAAACCGGTCAAAGCCACGTGATCTCTTGGATTTTCTTATTAAGATTACGGATTTTTCGTAAAATGTTTTGGGTTTTGACTTTTTTTTTCCCCGAAAATATTTTGGTCAACCAGGATTTCAATATGCAGGTTTCTTTTTCGTTGGTAAATTAATTGTCTTAATACCCTTGTATTTGACTTTTTGCCATTCTTTTGGTTCAAAAGTCAAATCTTAATTAAATGTTAGACTCTTTTTCTTTCTTTTTTTTTATCTATAAAATCTCATTTCTCTTTTTCGAACTTCCAAATTTGCAAAAAAAATTTAGTGATGACGGCATATTTATACACACATAATTATAATTATAGATCTATAATATATTTTCATATTAAGCTACGAAAAAGAAATGGATTTACACTAATAATTCAAGGTCTGGAGCTTGAAATTCAGAATTTCTAGTGTACATAAGTTTAATCAATCGTATCTTCTATTAGTACAATTTTGGTTGAATTTCGATATGAACGTATGTTGTAAACGTATAGATACGTATTCCCGTGAAATATGTATGGCGTGGTTTGGACTGACTTTTGAGACAAACGTTGACATGGACCGTCTACGCGATACAGATTAATATAAATGACAAGTGGTCCCACATTAAAATCAAACGGTGACGTCATTACACACTGCACTGCCCTGTATTGCTGACGTGCGCCGACTCTCCACCATTTATCGCACGACTAATTTCTTTTAATAATATATATATTTTTTTATCCGTAGAATGTTTTTCTCTTTGGAATTTCTGGACCATCCGTCTCGGTGGAATATTTCAATCAATATTTTAATTCGGGTATATTAAAATATAATTTATGAAATCAAATGTTAATCAATCCGATGAATCGATTTTAATCAAATATTGAAAATTATTTATTTTAAAAATTAAATTCATAAAAATCAAATCTAATATCATAATAACTTAAAAAATATTTTTAAACATCAAATTTAAACAAGATTCCAATAGAACCCCGTATTAATTAAAACCATACAAAACCGAATAAAATAATTTTATAAAGTTAACCTAAAATCTCAAAAATCTCTCTCTCTCTATATATATATATCTATGATTTGATGATTTTCAGATATTTTGATTATAAATTTAATATTCATTTCAATTCGGGTTTGTGTATATATATAATGAAATAAATTATTTAATTTACCATCCTCGTTTATCATTTCCTCAAAGGCGGATAGTAAAACTCTTATAAATGCAAACTTTAATAATTCATTTAATATATTTCTATATTTTATACGAAGAAAAAACGTTCTACTTTATTATTTTCGACCAAAAAAAAAAGATGGAAAATTCGTGTCGTATTCGTGATTCACGACACTAGAGATTTAGTTCGGAGGAGGAAAAATAAGTCCAACGCTACGGTGACGCAATAACGCGTCACCCACAGTTACTGTGATGCACTTCGTACGTCACCGTCGTTGACGTTAGACTTTCCTCCGCCGACCCTCCACTTACGCGTACGTCTCCTCGTAATCATAATATAACACCACCACCTGTTGTCTCTCCCTATGCTCTCAATTTTCTTTTCATCACTCTTCGCAAATGCTGGGGCTTAGGGTTTCTCCTCGTACAACGCCTTTTCATCAAAACGCAGCGTTTCCGAAACGCGAAACGCTCGAAAACGCGGGTGACGACGACGTTGAGAAACTCGTGGCGGAGAACGCGTTGATTGTGATTGGACGTCGGGGCTGTTGCATGAGCCATGTTGTGAAGAGACTGCTTCTAGGGCTGGGAGTTAACCCTTTGGTTTACGACGTGGACGAAGATAGAGAAGAGGGCGTTGTTCAAGAATTGGTTAGGATCAACGTTAGCGGCGTTAGTGGCTGTGGGAGTGGTGAGAAGGTGGCGTTACCGGCGGTATACGTCGGGGGGAAGTTGTTTGGAGGTTTGGATAAGGTTATGTCCACTCATATCTCCGGTGAGTTAGTTCCCATTCTCAAGGAGGTTGGGGCTTTGTGGCTGTGAAAAATCTAATATCATGTTGTTGAATTTGATGGTTTTCTACTTTGTTAATTAGTCTTCGTTTTGTTTTTTTAATCAGATTGTATAATAAAAAAAATTGGATAGTTCATTATATATGTCTATATTATATATATATATATATACTGATGCAATTATTTTGAAATATGTTTATGTAATTCATATAAATCTCGTTTTTAATATGAACGTTTTGCATTCTTCTTCTTCATTAAAAAAGGCAAATTGAATCCATAAAACGGTTTTGCCTCACACCTTGTATTTATACTAATACATATATATATGTATGGACGGAGCCATTTGTATTTGGGGGGTGGGGGGGGGGGGCCAATTGTCCCATCTAGCTAACAAATTTTTTTTTTTTTCAATTTTAACCCACTTTTCAATTGGAAAAATCCGAAATACCCTTTTCGTTTTATTTTTTGCGACCTTATTACGACTAACATATAACTGATGTACCACTAAAATAAGACAGATGATTTTTTTACCACCTTTTTTAGAATCAATTGTAATTATATTTAGAATTAATTACGAAGTCGTAATAACGAA